TAGTGCCGGTGCCAGAGCAGATTGGCTAAATGTGATTACCTCTGCAATTAGTCTGAAAAGTGTAAACCATTTAGACAAAAAAAGGGTTATATTTTAAGGTATAGGGTTAAAGTACCTGCACAGTATAGTTCTCATGAATATTTCGTAATAAGCAAATGCTAATTTATAAACCTTCCATTTCACTCCCCACTCTATAGAGGAGTGACCCCTTTTCGCAGTTTCCATACCCATGATTCCCATTTAAGCTTAACTCAGCGGTAAAAATTTATTGAACACTTCCATGCTCGGCATTCGTTGATTTTTCCTTTATTTCCACTCACCCGTAGCGAAAGCTAAATGCAACAAACATATGAGCAAATAGTAACCAAGCTCCTGCCCTCCGTCCTCCTCCAGTAGAGGACCCTTTCCGATTCCTCATAATGTAGCGAACGATTCCGTATTTTGTATAAATTTTACAGGCAACGTTCGCCGGTCGCTGTTCAATTTGTTGTTGTTCTTGATGTTATCGCCGGGCTATATCCTGCTTGATATATATATGTATATTTATATAGGTATATGTTATGAGTGGTGAGGCGGGGCGGTAGAATGGGGCACAGTTGTGTATGAAATATAATAAAATTGTACAGGAAATGACGAACAAGTCGAGAGCGGAGAAAGCCCGATGAGCGAACTGAAGGGCGGCTCGAGGAACATTTTAACCATCGAATGGTTTGATTATTAAATCCATGAAGTTTTTCCCCATACATGTATGTATATATGTGTGAGTGTATATATATCAAAATTCACTTGATTGCAGTTTTCAAGTGAAATCCTAGCACACTTCACAACGACTCGTTGGCTGCGCCTAAGGGCTGAGCATTGCAGGATATATGGTGGGGATGCCAGGACACTGGCGGCAGGGGCAGCGGATAGGTTGTAGGAAATATATTCCTATAAATGGGAACACTTATGATCCAACCCCCCTAAACTCCAAACCCCTTTCCTCTCGTTGTAATTGATGTTTCAAGTAGCAAAGTGCGCGCCAAAAACTAGAAGGCCCAACTTGATTTTGATTCAGTTTCTGCAGAATTTTAATGAACTCGAGTATTGGCTGCAAGTTTTGCGACTAAATCAAATTAAACCACATATGCTCCATCCTGTCTCTAAAGGAAAAGCCTAGGAAATGAGCTCGTCTTAGGGTTTGGCTTGGCTTTTGGCCAAAACTAATGCAAGTTTTTATCAGCATCCTTTTTCGCTAACCCCTTTTCGCTATTTACCCGCGCGATTCGCAATGGCTTTCAATAATGCTTTTCACGCTAATTAATTTTTGGTTTTACACAAACACGAACCCAATCACAGCCACCCACCCAACCAGTCACACACTCCCCCAAACACCCGTACTTTGGGCCGGCACTTGACAATTTCCTGAGCGTCAAAAGATTGGGAAATCCGTGCCAGAAGTCAGGGGGGTGATCCTGAACAAATTTTGTCCAGCCTAGAAGCATGAAGAATTTATTTCCTCCCTTTGGGACGTTAAATTGAAGGATTTTTTCAAAAAGGGTAACAAGGGTATATGTTTCTTGGGGTGAAAAAAATATCAAGAATTTTATGGCCTTCATAACCCATAGACCTCTTCTTACGGGATATCCTTTAGTCGTCACCCCTAGTACCCAAGGTTTTATTTATTTTTTCTCTGGCACTTCTCAACACATTGGACATTAAAGAATTTGTTGGCCTTGCCTTCCCTTTGGCGTTTCCTGCTGCGAATTTGGCTAAATTGCATTGCCGGCACAACAGAGTCTGAGGTAAGGTCTTAATCTGAGGCAACTGAGGCTTGTTGCTTGAGCGAATCAGAAATTGTGGCAGCCACCCCGCAACCCAATACCGCAGAAGTGCCGCACAAGTGCTGCTTGACTTGGACTGTTTTCGAAGGTGGATGGATGGGTGGAAAGATGGCTGGATATTGGGAATCTACTCCTCCTTCATGCCCAATTGATGCGGGCTTAACGCCTCACTAGAACGCCAGTTATGGGGGAGCTCTACGGGTTTTTGGGTTTAACCTGAGACTGCCTCAAAAAAAATAAAGGTTTCGGTTTCGTTTGGCGTGGAAATCGCAAGGAACGCCTTTTTCCCGGTTCCCTGACACGGGGCGTTTCCAGACAGAAAATGGTGGAAGATGCGAACGCCCCAACGATTAAGGATAATCTAATTTGAAGAGGCCAGGACAACAAATTCCCCCCAAAAACGAAGAGCCATTTGGTACGTGATTTATTTCAAAACAGCATATACTTTAGAGAAGTACTATTAAAATAATAAGTATTTAAATTATTGCTAATCAAGATTTCAATAATTATTTCAATAATTGAAACTGGCTTTTAAATTAAAAGCTGCAACTCATTATGCAAATTATAATCCCAAGAAACTATTGACATAGAATTTATCTTTGATGAAAATTTTCATTTAGGATTTAATTTCTTCTTACCAGAAGTCTATATTTATTTCTCACAAGTAGGCTTAAACGTTTCAAAACAAATGCATAAATTCTCTGCAAAAGATTATACATTTTCAATCGAACTTAAGCTTTCCAAAATTCTCAAATTTCGCTTTAGAAGAGATCTAAATTAATTGAACATTTTCAGAGTTGTGATGATGAATGCTTGTGTTTAATGAACTGGATTTATTTTGGCCTTAGAACGTATTCGTTTCTTGATTCCCATTGTGCCAATCAATAGCCTGATTAAATTGGCAAGCTGGCCGGTTTTGGGGGCCGCATATAGGAATCCGCCAAGGCAGGCAATCGCTAAGCCGCATAATTATATATAGAATACATAAATGCAGATGCACAAACTACGCAAACGTGTGGCAGTGGGTGGGGCAGCAGGAGGATATTCCATGTAGACCCTGCCCGCATCGGGAGGAGCGCAACTCAACTCAACTCAACTAATGGTCCATTCGTGGCACTTGGTTATTGACGTTGGACTCGAATTGTATTAACAATGCAAGCAGCAAGTGCAGCAAGAGAAGGCGGGGGGAGGGAGGGAGGTAGAAGCGGAGGCGTTGTTGCAACCGGAGGGCGGGTCAAGCAGCAAGCGGCAACGATTCGCTTTGATGCCAAAATCGAAGCGTGGTCAACTTCATTTCGCTTAATTTCGTGTTGAGGCACATAAATGCGGTACAGTCTTAACAACTTAAGACAGACACTTTATCAGATACAAAATATTAAAATGTTCAGCATTTATTTTAAAAATATTTTATAATAATTCTCTAGATACCATATTTAAGAGTTAATTCCTAAGACAGTTCCCTTCCTAGAAGTACAACTGTAGTTATAGATGTTTACAGAACTATGCGCGATGCGTGTCCGCTAATCCGGTGGATATTGGAGAGAATTTTGGAGGTGGGCGGTGGTATGGTGTGTGGGGCGATCCAAGCGATAGGCAACTCCCTGTGCCACCCCCGCTGTCCCCTTTCGATGCATGCCACTCAGCTATGACATTTTGGCAGCGTCGAGTGCACCAAGACTGTCAAATGAGTTGTAATGAAATCTCACTCAGGACTCTGCCACACACACACACACAGACGCACAGTCAGAGTGCAGTGTGTGTGTGTTTCAGTCAGCTTTGGTCAGCTGCACATATAATAAATAAATTATTTGGCATTTGGCGTGGCGTATTATTGAAGGCAACTGCAGCAGGGTAACCGGAGCAGCACACACACCTATTCCTATTGCGACATACAGCAGCGCCATCTGTCGCCCGCGTTTTGAGGCTGACTTGGGCATTAGCGTGATTAGCCTGAATAGCTTCTGCAGGTTCCAGTAACAACAACTACTAAAAGAGATACTTAGAGAGCTTAAAGATTTAATTAAATTTAATTCAAAATTATAAAATTTTTATTCATTTTTGAGGATATAAAATTTGAAAAACCTTAGAGTTGGAAGCGGATTAGTCACCCTTCCCAAATAAAGCAATTTCTGATGACGAAAAGCAAAAGAAACAACTTTTGAATAATATATAATTTGCGGCGTAATGAGCCGAAAAGTAAATCCATCCATTGCATGTTCGCGGCCCATAAAAGTAGGCAACGATTTCTGAGAACATCGCTATATTGTCTGGCCTAAGCGCGGAGGTCCTGTCGCTGGCAAGGAGGCAACCAGAGCAGTCGGAGCAATGGAAGGCAGAGGAGCACTCTCAGTCAGTCACATGGCAAAAAGTTACAAGTAATACTTAACGCTAAATGGGCACAAGTGCCCACCTGAGCCAGTCCCACTTCAAGTCCAATATGTGTGTGTTGTTTTTTCCTATTTTTTTGTTGTGTTTTTGCCATGCTTGGAAATGGTTTTTTTTTTGTAATGAAGTTATCGACAAGGTGGATCCGAATCGCAGCACTAACTAACATATGTAGAACAATATGCAAATGTTACTTTGTTATGCAATTAGTGAATTCGATGCAAGGCACTCGGCACTCGGCAAACAGACAACCGCAGCGCCACTCGAAGGTTTAGCCAGCCAGTTAAATTGCAATTTGAATTAGAATTGTGCTGGCAAGGATCGCAAGGAGTGCTCAATAGATTGAGCAGGGAAATATCCTTCAAAAAGGCTCTGAAGAAGTCCTTTGGCTAACTCATCAATTTTAGATATATGAGGTTAAGGTAAGATCAGAAATATTCAAAGGAAACTAAGATTTAAAATAATTTTTTTCATAAAAGTATAAAAATTCATATTTTCCTCTGAAAGTTACAAAAACCTTATCATAAGCAATAGACCCTATTTCGCCTCTTGTCTGAACAAACATAAAAAAATGAAATTAAACCAAAATAGGTCGCATTTGCATGTCAATCAAAACCAAAAGGATGAACCTCTTGGTGGGAGGGAAACCCATATCGAGACAAAAGGATACACCGCATTGAGTGCTAACCAAAGCGAGTCACACAATTAATTGAAGGACCTCTTGTCCAACCAGGGGATGGCTACAGTATTAATTCATATATCTGATTCTTGAATTTCTTTTCCGCTTCACAGGCCAAAATGATGGAGAACTCTCACGCCTGGATGGGTGCCACTGGATCTACGCTGGCAGGTTTGTAAAGGAATCACATCCAACCAAAGAAACCCTATATTTATATATATATATTTTTGATCCTCCAGCAGACAGCTACCAATACCAGTTACAGTCCATGTGGCAAAAGTGCTGGAACACCAACCAGAACCTGATGCATCATATGCGCTTCCGCGAGCGAGGTCCTCTCAAGTCCTGGCGACCCGAGACCATGGCCGAGGCCATCTTCAGTGTACTGAAAGAGGGCCTCTCTCTGTCGCAGGCCGCCCGCAAATACGACATTCCGTATCCCACTTTCGTCCTGTACGCCAATCGGGTGCACAACATGTTGGGACCATCGATCGATGGTGGGCCGGATCTGCGGCCCAAGGGGCGGGGCAGGCCACAGCGGATTCTGCTGGGCATTTGGCCGGACGAGCATATTAAGGGTGTTATCAAGACGGTGGTGTTCCGGGACGCCAAGGACATTAAAGACGACAGCATCGGCTCCCATTTGCCGCCCTACGGACGTCACTCGGTAAGTGATTTGAGGTGTGATCCTTGGAATTGAACTAACTGCTCTCGGGTTAGCCCGTGTTTCCCCTGCAGGACCTCTCCCTGAGCTATCCTGGCGCGAGTGGCGCCCTGGCCGCGCCGCCCAGCTCCCTGGCCTGTCCGAACGGCAGCGGTCCTCAAGGCGGGGTTGGAGGAGAGCCGCACATGTCGCAGGAGACTGCCGCAGCGGTGGCCGCCGTGGCGCACAACATCCGGCAGCAGATGCAGATGGCCGCGGCCGTGCAGCATCAGCACGGGGAGGCGGGGCCGCCGCCCGTTCCACCCGGCCTGTTCAACCTGCCCCCTCATCCGGGGGTGGGCTCGGTGGCCGTTCCGGGATCGGGTGGAGGCAGGGCCAGCATATCGCCGGCCTTGAGTAGTGGCAGTGGTCCGCGTCACGCGCCCTCGCCCTGCGGTCCCGCTGGCCTGTTGCCGAATCTGCCGCCCAGCATGGCCGTCGCTCTGCACCACCAGCAGCAGCAGGCGGCGCACCACCAGCAGCAGCAACAGGCGGCGCACCACCACCTGCAGCAGCTCCACCTGCAACAACAGCAGCAGCAAGCCGCCCACCTGCACCACCAGCAGCAGCAACATCAGCAGCACCACCACCACCAGGTGCCCCACAAATCCGTCGGCGGTAGTGGTGGTGGTGCTGGTGGTTTCGGTGCCAGTTCCTCCTCTCAATCCTCGACCCATCCCTCCAAGGCCAAGGGAAGTCCTCTGCGCAGCGAAACCCCCCGGCTGCACTCTCCACTCGGCGATCTCGGCCTGGACATGGCCGGCTACAAGAGGGACTTTTCGCCCAGTCGACTCTTTGCCGAAGATCTGGCCGAACTTGTCGGCGCCAGTGTCTCGTCCTCCTCATCCTCCCAGGCAGCTGCAGCCGGTGCAGGGGCCGGAATTGATAGATCCGGAGCGGGATCCTCTGGAGTGGATGCCCCCAGTTCTTCGAGTGCTGCGCCAGGAGCCATCAAGGTGGAGCCCATCACCACGACTAGCGAGTAATAAGGATTTAAAAAGCGAAATGATTAATGAAAGTTATGAAAGGATGAGTGAAAGGAAGGGATCTAAAATCTGAAGCCCATCAGGAGCTGCTCCCAGCAGCTTTAAAAGCACATCTGTAAGCACCTACACCTTGGAGAATTTTTTAAATAATTTCCACAACTTTAAAAACAGTATAAACATTTTATCAAACATATCCCTCAAGGGAAGTCCATAAGAACTCCATAATAAAAAATAAAAAGCAATAGACCAGAGAATATTAGTAATACTAATATTCAAAATACTTATTTGAAGAAAGCACAACAGTTTTAAACATTTTTAAGGATTTTTAAACCATAAACCCCACAACAGCTTCTCATCCTTTTAGTTTTAAAAATGAAGTATGTAAATAAGCTAAATCAAAAGAATGTATAAGGTTTCGCTATATTTGGCCTAAAACTATAGTTAAGCTCAGTTATTTAAATTTATAAGTTAACAAAAATAAACAGTTTCCAAGGTGTAGGTGTTTCTCATAAAAAATAGTGCTAGTTTTCCTCTAGCTTCCTCTACGCGATCTTTGCCACCTAGTTTCTATTCCTAGCATACTTATTGAATCAAAATTGAAAGTATTATTATGTTATAGTTCTTCAGTCTAACTAAATAAATAGCGATCGATCTCTTTAGTTGTAAGCAAACACGGATGTGGAAGATGGTGACCCGGAACATTCCACGGAAATAGAATTCGAACCTAAACAGAAACTAAAAACTGAATGCCAGTCCCCAGCAGAATAATACTAATTAAATGTAAAACAAATCAAAAGAGTTTAAGCGGATTTAACTTGGTAATTGTGTGCCCGAATATTATTTAGTATATTATTTAAAAAAAGCGAGAAGAAGAAATGTACAAAATTACTAAAAAAAACACTATAAAAAAATGAAAGAAATTAAGGGAAGCAGATAATTGCTTCAAATGCAAATGGAATCAACTAAAATTAATGTTTAGGCTTAAAAAAAAAACAATTAAAAAATGATTCACAAAAAATGCCTTTCGGAATTAAATTCAGCGATGAAGAAAACCGCAAACAAAATTTGTAAAAAAAAAAAAACAACGTAAACTAAAAACAAAAACGAAAAACAAGTGAAATTTTTTAAAAACGTATTTATACAAGCAAAATTTTTAGACAAAATTTAGAATCGAAATTTTTGTATAACGATAACTGCTGCGATGCTGTCGGCACTGTCGGGCGACTTAATTTTAGATTATTGGATACCCGGACGTTAACCCTTGTTATTAACCCCTCTGATACCCCACTAGATCCCCTTCTAAAGTGCCTTTTCTAGCCTTAATTTGGACTCTGCTCCACTTCTGTCCCCAAAACAAAAACGCCTTCAGGCCGAGCATTTGCAGCAGGATTCGTTGGTTTATTTGAAAAGTCTGGCGACATTATGAGGAATATATATGCTGAGTATATAGCATATATGTATATTTTGTTTCGTTGACACCTTTAGGCATACTTTCGGCAACGTTTCGTTTTGGCAAGCACACAATTGATTAATCGGACGAAAGTTAATTACGATAATGGATAAACACGACTATTTTTGCATACGCAAGAACTCATCTACAATAGCCATAGCCCGTATATACGTACATACATATATACAACTCAATCACACGATATAAGCATCTATGTAATCCCCATTCCCATGTCCCCATAGACGTCCCCCATTTGATGTTCCAACACAAGTATCGAAACCTATTCAATTAATTTCGGAATAGAATGTATAATGTAAAGAATGGCAAGAGTTAGAAATATAAACAAAAATCTCCTGGATATGTGTATCTTTGTACGGCCTGGACGCGTCCAAGTCCAAGTCCAAAAAACTCAACATTTTCTATCAACTTTAGTGCAAAACTTTATGTTCAAATTAACTTTAAATGTCGAAATGAATGTTCTAATTAATCCTAGAAAACAAAAACAAAAAAAAACGTGAAAAACGCAAAACATGGAAAAACCCAAAACGAACAAAAGTATTTTATAAAAACATTGAAAAGTAACCCAACTCGGATTGTAGTTTCATTGTTTAACAACCATGCTTGGAATGCAGTATCATTTAATGTTGCATTTCATGTAGGATACTGGACATAATCTTTGGGGTTCTCTCTCTGGGGGCTTTCTCCTGACTCTCAGAGCAGGATGGGTGTGGCCTCGGCCGGGGGCTGATTGATCTCCTGATGGCGCTGGAGGAGGCCCAGGCACTGATGCAGGCACTGGGTGCTGGCTGTAGAAATGGCTTTGAGCAGGAGCAGATCGGGATCAGTGGGCGAGAAGGAAGCACAGTCGATACTCTCGATAGCCCTGGCCAGAGATGCGTTGCTATTGAAAAAAAAGGGAGTTAGTAGTTTGTTTCAGAAAGTATGGAGGATCTAGTACCATTGCTCTGTAAGAAACAGGGCCTGTCGAGCGGACACCATCGCGTCCGAGGCGGCCAGCAGCTCGCGCGGCGGCAGAGGTGATGTGTTGCTTATGTCCATGGCCTTCATGTGGCTCTCCACCACCGCTCGGAGTCCATCCACCCACTCCTGTCTGGCCCGCGCATCGTTGGCCCTCAACTTCACAGTGTCGCCCGAGGCGCAGGCGATGGCAAAGGTCCTCGAGTCCTCGTCACTGGGATAGACAACGGCGCCGGCCAACTGCACCTGACCTCGCGGGGCACTGGCCAGGACATGGGGCGAGGGCGCAATGTCGTCGCCAACAGTGGATGAGTCACAGAGGTAGTAGCTCAACGATCCCGTCTTGGCGTCCACAGAAAACCAACGATATTGCCAGCCTGAAAGGATGACATTATATAAAATCGAATGGACGACATCAATTTGTATCTACGTGCAAATTTTATCTATGATTCACCTTTCTGGTTGAAGATAAGTGACTATGGAATGATAAGACTGAAATGAAGATGCCTCAAGACCAACAGACTCCTCCGGAAACCTCACCTTTCATCACATTTGTGTATTTGCTAAGCTGCCCGCTGAGCTTCAGCTTGGGCGATTGGCTTATGATCCTGTTCAAGTTGCTCTCCATGGCTTCGGTGGCCCGTCCCAAGAGGGTGCTCCGAGGGACAGAGTCGGAAGTGGGCCTTGTCTTGGCGCAGAGATTGTTGTTGGCGATTCCTGGCTTTATCGCATAGTTTGGAAATGGAGCGTCGTCGGAAGTAGGCGTAGCCGGAGGCGGTGGGCGATGCTTCTTCTTGCGCTGGCGGAGTGAGTTTTTCAGTTTTCGAAAAATGTTTGCAAATTACATTGACCAACAACAGCGATTTTCTTCTGTTGTTTTTCTCTGAGAAAAAATTGAGAGAGGAAAAAAACAGAGTCAATTTTCTCTCCACAAATCTGGTCACGTTAAAAATTATTAGAGTTGTTGCTAATAGAGTTTAAATATTTGTATGTTTTTCATCAACATAAATCTCAGTTTAAAAACTGATTCACGATTTTCGCTTCTGTTTCTATTTATTCAAGAATAATTAAATATATATTTGAAAATTCCAGTAGGACCGTAAAGTACGACTCAAAAAATACCAGTGTGTCGAAAGTCATGTAAAATGTATGTAAAAAAATATACAAAAGATATTCGGAAATAAACTTATATTTTTGACGAACCCAAACAAAAGTTCTTTAAGGAAACCTTCCTTATTATAATGTATGGCTTTAAAACTCACAATTAGACAAAATCCATTTCATAATATGAGTAAAAATTTGTATACAATAATTATCGATAAATTTTGGTATTTTATCAACAACCCTAGAGAAAAGAGATACAAGAAGAAGAAGAAGTAGCCGAGACGGGAGAATTTCGCGGATGATGGAGAATATATAGATATAGATATATCCTCCCCCGATCTTTATGACCGTACGTTTGTGAAATTGATTTTGTGTTTGAGTTAGGAAAATATTGCAATTGGCAATTGGTGGCGAGAAAAAGTCGCAACAACAAATCATTATTGGGAACCGTGTTTGTGTTTAAAAATAAGCAAGTGTGTGTGTGCGCCCGAGTGCGACTGTGTGTGTATGCGCGAGTCTTATTTTATGCTTATGTTTTTATGCGGCTGTTTGCGTGACGGCGTCAGTTGATTTATGACATTTAACATATTCCTTGCAGCACCCTCTATATAGAGCCCCCGGCTCCGGGCCCCCTATTTTTCACCCTCGACCGGAGTCGCAAACTCCCCCACCTCCTTGTATCTGTCTGGTCGGTGTATGTGTGTGTGTGTGTTTTGGTATCCCCCCTCCCATTCGCACTCCCCTTAACCCGTCGTGTGTCGTGTGGCAACAACAAAATTTTAATAAAAAATTTAATTGATTTAATTAAATCAGTGTTGAGAGTAAAATAACTTAAAGTTTGTAAAAAGTGAGATGAAAAAAAGTGGTAATCCTGAAGGTTAATATCCAGCTGAGACCACCTATGGGTTAACCGAGAGAGAGAGAGAGAGGGGAGACTGAAAAACTCCACTTTTTTAAAAATAAACTGCGTGCCAAGCTAAAATAAATATGCAAATAATGTGAAAAAAAATACATTTTGCTAATTTGTATCTTTTGTTTCTTCTTCTTTCCATCCATTTTCCAAATCCAACCAACCAACCCACCCACCCAAACAAACAAACAAACCGCAACAACAACAACAACAACATGAAAGAGTGACCATGAAAATGCCAACAAGAAATTTTCGAAAATCAATGATTAAAAGCCAGGCCAACAAGAGTGCACCAACAACAACAACAAGGCAGCAAAATAATAATAAAAAAAATTATAATAATAATACTAATAACCACTAAGTGAAATTCGAGGCTGGACTCCGTTATGCTGCAGTGCCTCTCGTCGGATTAAAATCGGACCATCCCAGCCCCCTCTATAGCCCTCCTCCTCTTAACCTGCTGCCAGCCAAGCGACTTTTGTGGCCGAAATGGACGGCCAGCGAGCCAGGGATCTGCTGACACTGCTCCAGGAGCGTGTGGTCTTCCTCACCGGCGGCAGGGATCGCAGGGGCGGGCCGCTTCTCTGCTTTCCGGCCACTCCCCGTCGGGATCGCCTCAAGCCGGAGGATCTGCGTCGGCTGCTCAGCTACCTGATCAGCATTCCCAGGTGAGATTTGCTCAGAATCGATGGAGAGAGTCTTGGTATGGTATTAGAATATATGAGAATTGGTTCTCGGAAATAGTTTTAAATTTTTGATTTATTTTTAGTGACGAAAGTCCACCGCATGATTCATCTGCCACCTAACTCATGTTGCACCTAATAAAATCTGTTGACAGAAGCCATTTGTTTTTATTAAAGGCACGATTTTCCAATGAAATCATCAAGACTAACCTAATCCCCAGACTTGGTTGCTTCGTTTAGGATGTATTGCATAATTGTCGGCCATATAGTTTCAATTTACCAGTGACGACTGTGACGGGGAAAGCATCATCAAGATTTTAGATATTTTTACTGGCCACTTGCCTTTGGCGGCACTTGTCCTCCATCTGTGGACAGTGGATACCTGCCTTGAAAGCTACTTTGGGGCTCCTATTCTCCTTGTCTCTTATTACGAGTGCCCACCGTACCAGTACAATGACTACCCATTGTGTCAGCTGACGTCGCGACGTCGCTCTGCGCCTCGTTTGCAATTTCGGCAGCGTCGCCTAGCATACTATATAGGATACTATATAAAATCGAGGGTGGATGGATGGATGGATGGATAAGTGAGGGGGAGTAGCTCGAGTCTCGAGCAGCTGCTGCTGCAGCTGCACTGCCACATTCCACTTGATTTTCCTGTTATAGTCTCGACTGCAGTCGCATATTTTATGAATCATCGTCGTCGTCGGTCGTCGGATTGCAAGAACAGCACGCACATTGTACTTGCCACACCGCCCTGCCTCCTGCTGCTGGTATTGACATTGAATGTAAGCTGGGCGGGAGAGGGGGTGCGAGTCAGGGCCAACACAAAAAAAAGTCATAAGAGTAAACAGTTTTAAATAAAAACAAGAAAGCAAAGCTAACTTCGGGCGGAGCCGAAGTTGATATACCCTTGCAGCTAAAACCGAATATATAGCGCAAACATCGGATATAGTTGGCCGATCCTTATGATTACATCATAATAAAACCAATTAATTACAATAAAAAATCTAAAAAAAAGTCCCAAGCTTCTATCTTCAAAAATACGAAATTTAATATTTCTACCAAATACCATTTCCGATCGTTCAGTTATATGTCAGCTATAAGATATAGTCAACCGATCCTAATGAAACTTTGTAGGTCGGATTAACTGACCAAAAATAGAATGTGTACCAAGTGCCAGCTTTCTATCATCAAAAACACGAAAGTTGGGTCATTTCCGATCGTTCAGTTATATGGCAGCTATAGGATATAGTCGGCCGATCCTTATGAAATTTGGCATGTCATATTATTTTGCCAAAAATAGCTCTCATATCAAATTTGAACTCTCTAACTCTAAAAACACCGAAGTTATACCATTTCCGATCAATCAGTTATATGGCAGCTATAGGATATAGTCGGCCGATCCGGGCCGTTCCGACTTATATACTGCGTGCAAAGGAAAGAAGGGTGTGTGCAAAGTTTCAAGTCGATAGCTTTAAAACTGAGAGACTAGTTCGCGTAGAAACAGACAGACAGACGGACAGACGGACAGACGGACAGACGGACATGCTCATATCAACTCAGGAGGTGATCCTGATCAAGAATATATATACTTTATAGGGTCGGAGATGTCTCCTTCACTGCGTTGCACACTTTTGGACAAAATTATAATACCCTCTGCAAGGGTATAACTAGCAGCCAGCAGCAGCAACAAAAGTTGCATAAATCTGTGTGAGAAAGAAAGCAATAAGAATCAAGAAGAAGCTGAAAGAACAGCAGCTCCACACACACAGATACAAACCAATACAAAAGCAAGACCAGGGACCGGGGACCGGCTTCAACGACTTCAGACTTGAAGCTCAAAAGAATGCGAAGATTTTTTTGCCGAAAAATGAGCCATAAAACAAGAAGAAAATAAAAGAAAGGGTAATTTGGGTGAACAGTAAAGCCTCGATAGTAAAAAACCCTCGAATACAAAGAGCTGGAATCAAGAGATAAAAGTAAGAGTGTGTCGGTCATTAATTAGTTGGGCAGTTGCCATAAAAAGAATTCCTAGAAAGAGACCTCGATTGAGATCAATTGAATGGAAAGTCTTTTGTTTTTTTTTTTTTTTAAATATAACAAAAAGATCCACAAAGTTATGGTACTCTCTCGATAGGGCAGGCCACAAAACTGCTATCGAGGTGGCTGCCAAAGGCAACAAACTCGGAATGATAATCAGACCCGAGACCCCAAGAGCTCAAGATGATGATGATGGCGACCCAAGATTGCGACACACGACCAGAGTGAGCTGAGAAGAGGTGCTGAAGAGGCACAACGAAAAAAAAAAGCATCAGCCGCTGCCGACATTCTCCTCCAATCATTGAGAAACTGGCGAACGCACGTTCCCCGCTCATTGGCGCAATCGTACCGAGATATTCTGGCCAAATTGAAGCGCTAACTAGCTACTCTAGCCATGATTCACTGCCTCCAACGGCTGGATTCCCACGCCGCATCTCCCATTCATGTCTTATCAGCCGGGTTAACAGGCAGACCATTGTACTATCAGTGTCCCAGATAGCTGGGGAGACCTACATAGAACTGAAATGACACAAAAACGGAACCCCAGCAGACTCTGAAGTGTTCAGGTTTGGCCGATAAGCAAATCGACTCGTCAAAGTGCCGGGGTCTCCTCAATACCACGAGCACTCGTATTCTCGTATCTCTCTAAATGGTATGAGGCATGAGGATGGGGGGTATTCCTTATCGCATCACAGCCATCCACGGAATGTGGCGTCCACTGTGCGCCTTAAAATGTGATTTGGTTTGTTGCTCTATCTATTGGGGTATGACTTGGTTTTGTTTTGTTAGTTAAGACACTCTACAAGGGGGCTATAGGGTTTTTTAATCTATCATGTAATGTGTATTTAATATATGAGATATTGTAATATAATTGTACTATGTCATATGTTATATACTATGTTAATATAAGGATTATGATTTAAATCTTAAGTATATTAGGAAAGTAGGAAGGTAAACTTGTGAGATCTTACAAATGTTTATGGTTTCAGGACCTAGATATTCACGATATTCATACCAACATCTATAAGATCTTAAAGACAAGAATGTAAATAATTTCTATAGTTTCAAGACCTAGAACTTCAAGACTAGCTCTTAAAGAAAAGACCTGCAATTTCAACTATCTACCTTCCAATTTCTATAAGATCTAAAGACAA